CCAAGTTGGCCCTGCTGCAAGACTGGAGCCTCTGGAGAGTCCTGCTCGGCTGGGGTGGCTTTCAGCACAGAACCAACGGCCGGAGCCGGCTCTCCGCCGTGGACTCAGCAACGCCTGGGAAGATGCCTCTCCTTCAGCCTTGGCGGCCTCTGCCTCGTCCCCTCCAGGGTGGCTGCGGAGCCTCCCCCCCAAGAGAGATTTCCTTCCCCAGGCGAAGGGTCTGCAGGGCTTGCTCCTAGGGCTTCCCCAGGCTCCCTCTGCTGACCGCCTGTGATGGACGGGGCCTTGGATGCCCGCCAAGGAGCAGGTGAGACATAGAAGGAGGGGACTCAGGCTGAAGAAGTGCTGCCAGTTCAAACCCCATTGTGATGTCTGATGGTGAAGTCATCGCATGGGCTGGAAAGGAAGGCTGGGGGTCCCTCAGAGCAAGGAGAGGCCCACGTGCCCAGCTCTAGGCAAGGAGGAAGATGCCATGATCCCTAGGAAAAACCTACGCCCTGGTTGTCCAGCCTTTTGGTCCTAGAAAAGTGGAAGAGAGAAAGGGGGAGACGCCTGCCTCTCTCATGAGAACGGTCACTTCCTTCCACTCCTGAGTCGGCCACCCTCTGGGACGTCACCATGCCTAAGCAAAATGACCTGGCTATCGGGATTGACCTCGGAACCACCTTCTCCTGCGTGGCCGTCTGCCAGCATGACAAAGTAGAGATCATCGCCAACGACCAAGGGAAGCGGACTACGCCCAGCTACGTGGCCTTCACCAACACAGAACACCTGATTGGGGACCCGGCCAAGAGCCAGGCCCCTCTCAACCCCCAGAACACGGTGTTTGACGCCAAGCGGCTGATTGGCCGCAAGTATGAGGATGCCGCCGTCCAGGAGGACATGAAACACTGGCCGTTTACTGTGGTGAGCCACGAGGAGAAGCTAAAAGTCCAAGTCTCCCACAAAGGCAAACAACGGACCTTCTACCCTGAGGAGATCTCCGCCATGGTCTTGGCCAAGATGAAGCAAACGGCTGAGGCCTACCTGGGCTACTCCGTTTCCCAAGCCATTGTTACGGTGCCCGCCTACTTCAGCGATGCCCAGCGGCAGGCCACCATTGATGCCGGAGTCATTGCAGGCCTCCAGATCCTGAAGCTCCTGAACGAGCCCACGGCGGCTGCCATCGCCTACGGCCTGGACGCCAGGCACCAAGAGGCAGGCGGCCGAAACATCCTCATTTTTGACCTGGGTGGAGGCACCTTTGACGTTTCTATACTTTCCGTGGAGGACGGCATCTTTGAAGTCAAGGCCACCGTGGGAGACACACACCTGGGTGGGCAGGACTTTGACCAGAGGTTGGTGGCCCACCTTGCAGAGGAGTTCAAGAAGAAGCACCGGAGAGACCTCCACCAGGACAAGAAGGCTCTGCAGAGGTTGAGGACGGCTGCCGAGCGGGCCAAATGCACCTTGAGCTCCTGCACCAGTGCCAGCATCTCTGTGGACTCCCTCTTCCAAGGGGTCGACTTCCACGCCACCCTCACCCGGGCACGGTTCGAGGACCTCTGCTCCGACCTATTTCGAGCCACCCTGAAGCCCCTTGAAAGGGCCTTGAGAGACGCCAAGATGAGCAAAGGGGACATCAAGGACATTGTCTTGGTTGGGGGCTCCACCCGCATCCCCAAGATCCGGAAACTGCTGAAGGACTTCTTCAACGGCAAGGAGCTGAACAAAGGCATTAACCCTGACGAAGCTGTGGCTTACGGGGCAGCTGTCCAGGCTGCCATCTTGACGGGCAACCGGACGGCCAAGATGCAGAACATGTTTCTTCTGGATGTCACTCCTTTGTCTCTGGGGATCAATACTCAAGGAGGCGTCATGGCAACCATCATAAAACGCAACTCCCCTGTCCCAACGAGAGAGATAATGGAGTTCACCACGACGGAGGACGACCAGGACACCATCTTGTTCATGGTGTATGAGGGAGAGCGAGCCTTGACCAAACACAACCACCTCTTGGGCATGTTCACCTTGAAAGGCATCCCCCCAGCCCCCTGTGGGGTCCCGGTCATCCTGGTCACCTTCTCTATTGACGAGAACAACCTTCTGACCGTCTCAGCCAAGGATGTGGAAACGGGGACCACCAGCCACCTGACTATCTCAGACACCCGCGGGCGCCTGGGCAGGGAGGAGATAGAGACGATCGTGCAGACGGCGGAGGAATTTCGGGCCAACGACCTGAGCCAGCAGGAGAAGATTGAAGCCATGAACTCCTTGGAGTCCTGCACCCTGGAGCTCAAGCGGGTGGCGGAGGAGCAGCTCCTGGACAGGAAGGCCAAGAGGAGGATGCTGGACATGTGTGACGGGGCTGCCTCCTGGCTGGAGGGGAACCCCCTGGCCGAGAAAGAGGAGTGTGAGAAGCGGCAGAAGGACCTGGAGGAGGCCTGGGACTCGGTCTACACTGGCCCAGGCGAGGGGGCAGAAGAACGGATGGAAGGAGACCCCGAGGCCGCTGAGCCGAAGGAAGACAGGGAATGAATCGGCCAAGTGCCAGAGTACATTGTTCCACCCAAAGGGCGCATTAAAACTATGGGTAAAAAAAGGAGTCCCTCTCTGGCTGCAACCCTTTCGTTTCTCACTCGTGGCTTTTAGGCCCCCATCAGCCCACCAGCAAGTCACGTGACCAAGTGTATCCGAGTCCACGTTGAGGCTTAGCAGGAAGGCCAAAGCAAGAGAAGAGGCATTGAGGGCGGGCCAGGCAAGTCGTCTTGAGTGGCTGCCCAGCTGGTCAAAGTCCCCTGCCCTGGCCTCAGCCGAGGCCCAAGTCCACTCCAAGGTGGCACTGCAAGGCGCCTTCTCAAAAGTGCAAGAACCCAGGAGCCCCACAGCTCGGCTTGCTCCCCCTTTGCCCGGCTCTTGACACAGTCGCGGTGGAGCCCTGGATGACCCTCCCTCCCAGGACGGCCACTGCAGCTCAAGGACGGAACCCACCGGGACCTTCAAAAGTCCTCCTTTATCTCAGTGTACCCTCGTTTCCTCTAGAAGGCTTCGGAACAGAGGGTTTGGTTCAGGTTCTCCAGGTGTGGGGGGTGGGTTCTCTGTCCCGTTTAAGGATTTTGTTGGGTTTTGTCTGGCTCCGAAACCCACCACAAAAGGGACCTGCGTCAGGGGAGCACAGTACAGCCAGACCCCTGCCCAAAGGCCACGGCACTTACCCAGGAGGCCCAGCACTGCCCGTTTCCCCCAAGGTGGCTGGGAGCAGGGAGCCAAGATGCTGCTGTCCCAAGGGGAAAAGCCCCCCAGCCCACCTTCTCCGGGTGGAAACCATGGTGGGCACTGCAGCAGAATCTCCCCTGGAGACAGCAGAAGAAGAAAGGGGCTGCCATCTGCTGGGGACACCGAGAGCCCCAACAGGCCCCAGGGGCCCATTGTGACATGCCCGGTGATGGGGGAAGGGCATGCTTGTCCTCTGAAGAAAAGGCCAGGGGGAGAAGTGGGGGAGGGAGGGGGGCGCACGCAGGGCCCAAGAGGAGCTGCCCCCTGGGATTGCCAATTTTCCATCATTGGCAGAAGGCCAGGGGCTGCTCAGGGAAAGAGCCACCTATGGGAGCTGACTTCAGCCATGCAGACGCGCCCAAGCCCACCTCCAGGCCAGAGACTCCCTCTGCGTTGAGACCAGGCGCGCCCAGGATTTGCCCCAAGGGTCCAGCCGTGGGAATTGACCTGGGCACCACAAAGTCCTGCGTGGCAGTCTGCCAGAGGGGGAGGGTGGAGATCCTGGCCAACGACCACAACAGCCGCACCACCCCCAGCTGCGTGGCTTTCACCGAGAGGGAGCGCCTGGTGGGGGAGCCGGCGGAAATGCAGGCCAGCCTCAACCCAGAAAACACCATCTGCAACGTCAAGCGGCTGATCGGCCGCAGGTACGACGACCCCTCGGTGCAGCTGTGCCTGAAGAACTGGCCGTACCACGTGGTGGAGGCCGGCAACGGCAAGGCCAAAGTCCAGGTCTCCCACCGAGGGGTGAAGAAGGTTTTGTACCCCGAGGAGATCTCCGCCATGGTGCTCTACAAGCTGAAGCAGGTAGCTGAGGCTGCCTTGGGCCGCCCGGTCACCCAGGCGGTCATCACTGTCCCGGCGTACTTCAGTGATGCCCAGCGCCAAGCCACCATCGACGCGGGGGCAATTGCAGGGCTCCAGGTCCTGAGTTTAGTCAGTGAGCCCACGGCGGCTGCGGTGGCTTACGGGCTCAAGGAGAGCCGCCCACGTAAGGGCAAGAGAAACATCCTCATCTTTGATCTGGGCGGGGGCACCTTTGACGTCTCCCTCCTCACTGCCCAGGACGGCGTCTTTGAAGTGGTGGCTACAGCGGGGGATTCCCACTTGGGCGGGGAGGATTTCGACCAGAGGCTGGCCAACCGGCTGGCCCAAGAGTTCAAGGACAAGTTTCAGGAGGACCCCGCCGAGAGCAGGAAGGCAATGCAGCGGCTGAAGGTGGCCTGTAAGAAGGCCAAACAGGCCCTGAGTTCAAACACAACGGCCACCGTCTCCGTCGACTCGCTCTACAAGGGAATCGACTTCCACACCACGGTCACCCGGGCCTGCTTCGAAGATCTGTGTTGCGACCTCTTCCAGGCCACCATGGTCCAGGTGCAGCAGGTGCTGGAGGAGGCAGGGCTCAAGAAGAGCCAGGTGCATGAGATTGGGCTCGGGGGAGGCTCCACGCACATCCCCATGATCCAGAGGCTCCTGTCCAAATTCTTTGACGGACAGCGCTTGTGCAAAAGCATTAGCCCCGAGGAGGTGGTGGCCCACGGGGCAGCCATCCAAGCCGCCGTTCTGACGGGCCACCGGTACCAAAACCTGCAGAACCTCCTCCTCCTGGACGTGACCCCCGTCTCGTTGGGGCTGGAGACGGTGGGAGGCGTGATGGACGTAGTGGTCAAGCGCAACTCTCCCATCCCCACGAAAGAGAGCAGGAACTTCTCCACCACCGAAGACCAGCAGAGCAGCCTCTTCCTGCAGATCTACGAAGGGGAGCGGATGCTGACCAAGCACAACCGCCTGCTGGGCACCATCACCCTCGGCGGCCTCCAACCAGCACCACGAGGCGCCCCAATTATTGTGGTCACCTTTCAGATTGACCACAACAACATCCTCACTGTTTCAGCCACGGAAAGGCACACGGGCAACAAGAAGGAGCTGGCCATCAGCGACACCCGGGGCCGGCTGGATCGAGACGAGATGGAGAGAATCCTCCGGGAGGAGGAGGAGCATCGGGCGCAGGAGAAGTTGGAGGAGGAGAAGCGGGAAGCCCTCAACGCCTTGGAGGCCAGCACCCTCCAGCTCAAGAGGGCGGCGGCGGAGAAGTCCCTGGACGACCGGGCCAAGCGGAGGCTGCTGGAAATATGCGAGGAGGCGGCCGCGTGGATGGAGGACAACCAGCTGGCGCCCAAGAAGGCCTACGAGGAGCGGAAGAAGGAGCTGGAGGGCGTCTGCAGCACCATCCTCACTCACTTCAGCACCGGGGAAGCCCAGCAGGAGAAGCCAAAGGAATCCTAGCTCCAGACCTCTCGAGGGGGGGGAGCCTATTAAAAAAAGAGAACGGGCTCATTCATTTTCTCCTCCTTCGCCCAAGGGAGTCCCTGGGGGGCCTCAGGGGCAGCCAGCCCAGAGTGGCAGAGCGCCTTTGGTGCCTCGGCGGGCAAGGAGCTGAACTAACACCCCATCCTCCTCTCCCCCCCGCCCCTCCGTCTGTTGGTCTCTCTCTCTGTCTCTCACCCCATCCTCCTCTCCCCCNAGTGCAGCCGCCCAACCCTCAGCTCCTCCGGAGGGAAACGGTGGGAGGGAAGGCCCTGGGCCCCAAGGTGGCCTCCGCCCGGCTCGTGCCCTGCTCCCCGGGGATGCTGCTGGTGGGCGGCTGGCCTCTTACTCCTGAGAGCAGGGGTGTCCAAACCTGGGAACTTTAAGACTTGTGGACTTCAACTCCCAGGATTCCCTAGGAGTCTGGCTGGCTGGGGAATTCTGGGAGTTGAAGTCCACGAGCCTCCCTGCCTTAAACGTTACTCTCGGCCTCCCCGCATAGATTGGAGGCCTGGATTCTCTTTGCCCCTCAATACTTCACGACGGGAGCCAAGCGGCCCAGGGTGGGCTTGTGAGGGAGGAGGAAGTAACCGAGGGGTTTTAGGCCAGGGGAGACGGGGGGAGGCTTTTCCCAGCCCAGTGCAGAGAGGTCGTCTTGTGTTCCAGAGAAGGGATCGGTGCGTCTCCCTCCCTCCCTCAAGGCAGATCCAGCGGCAGGTCGCCTGACTCTCCCCCAGCGGGCTCACCTGAAGGACATGGTGAACCAGACGGCCATCATCATCAACGTCACCCGGCGGTACTCGGGAGCAAAGCACTGGTGAAAATTTGCCCAGACCTGTGGAAGGCGAGGGGACCCGCTTGAAGCTTCCCGGTGTGGGACGCAGCAAGGGGCGCGAGGGGCTCGGCCGGCTTCTCCGGTGGGTCCTTTGGGGGGTGGCTGTCCTGGAGGCCTTTTGTGGAGGCCACGATCGGACTGCAACCTTCCCCCTCCCTGGCTGGTTTTATTGCCCAGCACGGCTCCCCCCCAAGGGAAGAAAAACCCAGCCAACCCACAAAACCTCCCCCCCCACCCCCGGACAACTGACCTGCTGAGAAAGATTCAGGAAGCGAACCATCCAGCGCCGGTACCAGGTGCCTGTGTCCGACTGGATCTCCACCAATTCGTCCTCCTGCTTGATTGTCTTGATGTGGGTCACCTGGGAGGGGATGGCAAAGGGGAGGTGAGGACCCTCGGGAATCCTCCAGAGGCCCCCTTGCCAAGAGAGCGGCAGGGAGGCTGGCAGGCGCAAAGGGGGCGGGAAGGGCTCTTACCGAGAAGACCCGTTCAGGGTGGCCTTTGGCCCTCATGTTGGTGTCATGGACCTGCTTCAGAACCATCCAGGCCTCGTCATGCTTGCCGTTCTGGAAAGAGGGAGACAGGGAGGCATCCAGCACCTTCCTTCCCGAGGGTCTCCCTCTGCCCCCTCCGAGAGAGCAGCCCTCCCCTCCGCAGGCCCAGCCCTTGCCCCCCACCCCCGCATCGGCTGCAGAGGAAGCAGAGTCAGTGGGCATCTGGCAGTTCTTTCCGCCCTCGAAAGGGGGCACCGGGGTCTCCCTACCTCCAGGAAGAAGCGGGGGCTCTCGGGCATGCTGGTCAGGGCCCCGATGGCAAAGACCGAGGGGAAGGCGCAGACCAAGACGAAGACGCGCCAGCTGTGGAACTGGTAGGCGGATCCCATTTGGAAGCTCCACCCTGTGCAATGAGGGGGGGGGAGTGGTCGAGAGGAGGAATGTCCTCTTCACTGCTAGAAACAGCCTCTACACCACCACCACCAACACCCCCCCTGCAAGATCCTGCCCCAGCTCCTCATCTGAGCCATGGAAGGCCACGGGGGGCCATCGGGGGCAACAACGGGCAAACCCTGGTTCTCCGAGCCCCAGGACGGCACCCCTGGCAGACACCTTCAGATTGGGGGGAAGGGACAAACCCTCCTGCTAGCTGCCCACCTCCGGGGGATGAGTGGGACAGCGACCGAGGAGCAATTTCCGTGGGCCCAGGGGAAACCCCAATCCCTGGGATGTGGGCCTGGAAAGCCAGCCAGGGGCCTGCGGCCAAGCTGAAAAGGCCCTCCCGATCCCACCGGTCCTCCGTGACCAGGGGTGGGTTTCTCTCCCCGTTCCAACCGGATCGGTTGGAACGAGGCCGGCGGCGTCCTCGCGCACGCACGCNGGAAGCAACGGTCTCTTTTTCTCCTGCTGGACAAGCGCTTTTCTCCCAGCAGCTCGGAGGGAGACCCGATCGTGGGAGCCGGCCCGGCCTGGCAGAAAGCTCAGGAAAGGTTCGCTCGCCACCTGGTGGACAAATCCGGGCCTGCGCCGACTCAGGGGGCTGGGATGGGGTCGGTCCGGTGTCGGGAGGGCTGGGGGATGGGAAGGGGATGCGTGCGCTGCACCTGGCCACAGGTGAGTCCCGGGAGGGAATCTCCTGCGGAGGATCGGGCGGCGCGCTGACAGCCGCTGCAGAAGGAACATCTACCTGCGGCGCACCTGGAGCCCAGGAGCGGAGGCCAGCGATGTGGGGTTCCCATCAGTTCCCACTCTGGGCGGCCAGGAGAGCAACGGGGTCTCCGCGGCCCCAAAGCGGCTCTTCCCCGTCGCGCCCAGCCAAGACTACGGCTCCCAGAATGCAACAGGGCGCGAGGGGGGGGGGGCTCCTAGAGGCTGCCGGGAAGTGTAGTGCCGTTGGCGCCCCTGGGACTGGCAGGGACTCGCTTTCCCGGCAGCGGCGAGGCGGGCTCAGCGCGGAGCCCAGGAAGGGAGGCGGTTTGGGGACGCGGCAGGTGAGTCACCTTGGGCGGCGCAGGGCCAGCGCAGGGGCCCTTCCGAAGCCGTGTTGGGGGGGGGGAGGTTGCTGCGACCCGCCGGGCTGCCCTTGGCCCTCTGCGAGCCCTGACGCTCCTCCGGCGTTTCCGTTGCAGCTGCTCCAGCCGACCGGCCGATGCTGCCCTCCAGCCTGCCGGCGCTCCTCGGCCGTGCCCTCCGCAGTCCGGCCTTCTCCGCCGGACGGGCGGCGCTGAGCGGGGCGGCCCTGGAGAAGCCGGTGGAGTCGGGCATCCGGGCGAAGCTGCAGGCGGCGCTGGAGCCGCTCCACCTGGAGGTCATCAATGACAGCCACATGCACGCCGTGCCCCGCGGCTCCGAGACCCACTTCCGGGTGGTGGTGGCCAGCCGGCGCTTCGAGGGGCTCCCGCTCATCCACCGGCACCGGCTGGTCAACGATCTCCTGCAGGAAGAGCTGGCCGGGCCCGTCCACTCCCTCTCCATCCAGGCCAAGACCCCCCAGCAGTGGGAGAAGGGCGCCAAGGCCAGCCAGAGCCCCCAGTGCCTGGGAGGGGCCAAGCACGACCCGCAGATGGCGGCCAAGTTAGGGAAGCCGACGGTGGAGGGCTAGGTGGGGGGGCCCCGAGGGCAGCCTCCTCCACGGGTCCCCACCACGCGCCTCGTCTTCCACCAGAGGCGATGCTCCTTCCGGGCTGAGCTGCCCAGAGCTGGCTGCCCTAAAGAGGCCTGTGATGTCCGCTGAAGCCTATTAAACGCCTTGGCCTTTCCTCCCCTTGTCTGCTGTTTTGGGGGAGAGGGAGGTGGCTATTGGGGGGGGGAGCTGTTCCTCCCCAGGTGAGGGAGAGAGGGTCGCGATTCCCTCCCCGCCCCTTGGCAAAAGGGTTCCCAGGAAAGAACATTGGCTGAAACGGCAGGAGGGTGAAAGAGCCATTTGCTCCCTGGCATTCGGTTGCCCTGCGCTCTGGAGGAAATGTTGCTTCAATGGCCTCTTGCAGCTTAACCAGGCACCACCCCAGGAGGCTGCCAGGTTGGCAGGGAGGCCATGGCACAGGCTCAAAGCAGCATCCCTCATCGAGTAGGAGGGGTCTCAGTGGAACCTCAGAGGAGCCCCCATTCGGCCGGCACTGGAGCTCCGCAACTCCCCATGAGGGACCCTTCTGGTCTTCCGCCCATAAGCCCCCACCCCTCCCAAAGGCTCAGCTTCCCTGCCAACTGATTTGGCTTCCTTTCCAAAGGTCCTCCTGGGGCTCCCTCCGAAAAGGTGGCCTGTGAAATGGACGATTCTGTCCGGTTATTAAAAAGCACACTTCAACCAGGAAAGAACATTAGATTTTTCAATCTTTTATTTCCCTCCATTTTTTACATGGATTGTTGTTAACTACAAGTTCATCACGGTGGTGGTGGGAACATGGCTCGATTTAGCCAAACATCCAGATTTCCTTCTCCGGTTGGACGATCTGTACACATATTAGCCAAAGCATCTTTTTTTCTTAAAAAAACAAACACCCACTGTTTCTCACAATGACATTTAAAATAACTCTCCTATCTAACCAGCATTCTTGGCTTCCTTGTTTATACAAAATGAAATGACCCAGAGGCTACGGCTGACGTTATGGGTTGTTTTCCCCCTGGTTTTTTAAAATTGTTGTTTACAAACATCTAAAAACTACACCACGGCACAAAGTTTTTGTCAGTTGGTTTTGCGCACAGACAGAGCTACGTATGGTTTGTGTCTTGGTTTTGTTCAGAAGCCCACCTACGCCGGGACAAGGGAGGGGGACGCAAGCTAGGGGGGGTCTGGAAGCAGCAGCAGGGAGGGTGCGATTTCACTAGGTAAGGTCTGGTCAGCCAGGTGGGGAGAAGTCAGCTTCCCCTCCCTACAAGCAGGTGTGGCCTTCTGCATCTGGAGAGGACCTTGGAAGAGGAAGAGACACCCGGCTGCTCTTCCCAATAAGGAAGGAACCAGCATGGTTGCTGCAGGGGGTGAAAGGGACTGGGGCCATCCTCCCTAGTGGTCCCACCGTCAGTTAGGAGGGGGGAAGGGATGGGGTGCAGGGGGGGGGCTCCCATTTTGGTACAAGGTAGCGAAACGCACAAGACTCGGAATCCTGCAACTAGGCAGCCTCTGAAGGATCGAATGCCCCCCCCCCCCAAAGCATCAGAGGCCCCATCCAGGGGCTTCGTTTGGTCCAAGATCCGGCTGCTGCGCTCGGCCAGCCGCTTCCTCCCCTTGGGGGGGGGGGCATTTTCTGCTCTTTTGGTCTATTCAGGACAAATGCAAGGAGACGTTTCTGCTTAACTCCTCCCAGGTTGTGCTCGGATGCCCCAAAACTGATTTCCAGTGTTCAGTGGGGAAGAAGGCAGGAAGGGAGGCCTCCCCAGGCACCAGGCGAATCCTGGCTTCACCTCCTTTTCCTTCAGGGTTTCTCTGACTCGCCCTCAGTCAGGAGAGGCCAAGGGCCTCCTGGATCAGCCCAGAGGGGGGGGGAGGGAGGGGCCACCCCTTGAAAAGCACCATCGCAAACAGCGAGGGGAACACGCTGCAAGTTAAAACACTCCTTATAAAACCTTTTTCCCAAGAAAAAGTTGTGCTAGGGTGTGTGTGTGTGTGTGTGTGCGTGTGCCTGCCCACTAGGCTTTGAGGGAAGCTATGCCTCCAATTCAAACGCCAGCAGAGCCCAAAATTCACCTGCTTGTGTGTTTGTGTTGTGTGGATCCATGCTTCTAGCCCTCATTGTTAGCTATGGGAGTTGTAGCTTTAGTTTACTGGACAAATAGAGAACTCATATTCACATATACACAAGTTTGTGGAAACTGTGATCTAGAAGCAGGAAAGGAGACTGCAGAATACAAGATTGTGTCTTATGTTTGCTAAGTGCTTGCAAAATGCCACCCAGCTCCCAGGGCTTGGCCGGCCCTCCCTTGGCTTCTCCGGCCGCCTTCGCGCCTAGCGTGGCCCCGTGGGAGAAGGGATAGTGAGGAGAAAACTCAAAAGAGCAAGTGAGCTTGTGGAAGAAAACTCAAGCGAAGACAGATTTCCCACTGAAATGGTACAACAAGACAGTCACAGTGTCTACAACGCTAAATCTCCCCCTGGGTGGGGGCAGGGATGGGGGCGGAAGAGTGCGGGGGGGGGCTCGCTCTCATTGCAGCACCTGCCCCCGGGTCTCCGGCAGCTTCAGGGCCAGGGAGCTGCCCACGGCCAGGGCTGCTGATGCCAGCAAAATGGGCACGGCTTTTGTGATGCCCACAAACGATGTGAAGATGCTGATGCCCAAAACCGCCGCCAGCTTGCAAAGAGCGTTGAGGAACCCAAACGCAGTAGTCCTGGAAGCAGGGAGGGGGAGGCCGTGAGGAGGAGGAGGAGGAAGGGACAGTGGTAGGCTTTGGTGGGGGCAGAGCTTTCCCTGGGTCTCCCCGTCCCTTCTGATTCCAGGGGCCCGGAGGGATCCCCATCCCGTCAAGGGTGAGGCCACCTGGATCCCATGAGTGGCAGAAGCCCAAAGGAGCAGGGCCCCTTTCCAAACAGGCTCACGGAGGCAGCTAGAAGGGCCCTGGGCACCCAGATTGGGCAGAAAGCCACAGGCATTTTCGCCACGCCCCGTGTAGGTGAGACCCCTTCCCCAGCTCCCCTGGAGGGCAGGTCAGGGGAGCCTCACCTTCTGTCCGAGGGGTACAGCTCCACCGTGAGGACGTCCAGGGCGTTCCAGGAGGCAATGCTGACCCCACCAAACAAGCAGAGGAGGGCAATCATGGCTGACTCGCTGTTGCCGAAGGACAAGAAGAAGCAGCTGACGCAGGACATGACGCTCGAGCCGGCTGGGTTGGTCAGAGGAGGCCGAGCAGAGGAGGAGGAGGAGGAGGAGGGGGAGAAGCATTAGGCCCCCAGGGTCCCTTTCTAGACCTCATTGTAAAAGACAGGCAGGCTCAGGAGCCTTTTTGCCCGCAGCCGGAGTCCCCATGGCTGGTTTGAAAGATCTTGCCGGGCCGCCTGGCAGCCACAGGCAGAGCCTCAAAAGGAGCCCAGCACCACTCTGGATCCTCAAAAAGCCCCCCCCCCGCCCCCCGCATGGCTGACCCTTAACAGCCAGTCCCAGAGCGGAAAAGGGGCCCCCAGGACCCCTGCTGAGAGGGAGGGCCGACCCCCCCCCCCAACGCTTGCCAAAAGGGGCCCCTCACCCAACATGCGAAGACGCCCGATCTTGTCCATCAGGAGCGCAGAGACGATGTTGCCCGGCAGCACCGCCAGGGTGCCCAGGAAGCTGACAAAGTAGATCATGTAGGCGTTGTTGTCGTCACTGAAGTCCAGCTGGCAGCCCTCCTTGTTGTGCAGAAAGGTGCTGTTGACGATCCGGCTGTCGATGAACTTGTACTCAAAGAGGTCTGGGGGGGGGAGGGGGAGAGGCCCGGGCTTAGGCCCTAAAGAGACCCAGCAGGTCCCCCCACCCCTCCTCTGCCGCCTGCTCAAGCCAGCCCTCGGCCCACCCATAACCTGCTTATGCCCGTGAGTGCCCGGCCGAGAGCTCCCGGGGCTCTCTGGGTGGCTTCTTGCAGGCTCTGCCAACAGCTGCCCCCTCGCCCACGGCGGCCTCTGTCTTCCCACGCTGGGAGACGCTCCTGAGCCGCCTCTTCCTCGCTCTCCAGTGGGGCAGAAAGGCAGCAGAGGCTGCGACTCCCCAGGGGGATCTGGGGCTGGGGCAGCAGCAGCAGCAGCAGCAGCAGCAAAGCGCTTCTTGAGCCGCTCTTGGGGGGAGCCCAGCTGAGGCAGGAGGGATGGCGGAGGCTCCCCCAGGACCCCCCCCCAGAGGCGCCCGGGAGCAGCTCTGCCCCCCCCACCCCCCCAGAGACGTCACCTGTGTTGTAGAAGACGGTGGCCAGGAAAGTGCAGTTCTTGAAGAAAGTGTTGCTTGAGGTGACGTCCTCAAAGTAGCACTCCTCGAACAGGGAGTCGATGAAGGAGACCGACTTCATCTTCAGGCCAATAAACCTGTCCGGGGGGGGGCGGAGGGGGGAAGGGGAGGTTGAGGATCCACCGGTTAATTCACACCTGCTGCTCCGTCCCAACGCGGCTTCTTCTGGCCTGGCGGGACGCCTGTCTCTACCTGCTCCAAAAAGCATCGCTGCTTATGGAGACTCTGCTGGGAAAAGACCGGAGCTGGGCAGCCCAGAGAAGCCCCCAGCCTCATCTCTGCACCACCGAGGAAGCCTGTGCTGAGCCCGGGGGGGGGGGGGGGGGGGCAGCAAAGCCGGGTTGGCACCTACTTGTCGTTGAAGTACTCTCCCCGGCGGTGGATCTGGTTCTCCAGGGTGAAGTTGAAGGTGACGTGCCGGAAGGTCTCGTTGTTGAAGACCTTCGTGCGGGAGGCGTATTCCACATTCTGGAGGTGCTTAATCATGTCTGGGAACCAGACGGTCAGCCCGTAGTAACTGCAGGTGGAGGAGGAGGGGGGCGGACCGGAAAAGAAAGAACCAGAGAGGTTTGGGGACCCTCAATGGGAGAGAAGGGCTGGTTTTCCAGGACATCCCTTCTCCCCCAGTGGGATGTCAGGCAGGACCCCTCCCTGGGCACTCTGGGTGGGACTCTGCGCAGCCCCCCCCCCCCAAGTGCAGCCACCCAACCCTCAGCTCCTCCGGAGGGAAACGGTGGGAGGGAAGGCCCTGGGCCCCAAGGTGGCCTCCGCCCGGCTCGTGCCCTGCTCCCCGGGGATGCTGCTGGTGG